AATTAAACATGAATTTTGAATATCTTTTTCTTGTGTTTGGAGTCACTTGTCCAACAAGTGACATTAGAGCCTAAATCTTGTTAAAGACTAATCGTCCTAGGAGGAAAAATGAATTCAAGTTATTTACTAAACAAACCCTCATTCTTTAATGGAGAAATGTATAGTTTGTGGAAAGAGAAAATGAAGTTTTTTATAGAATGGATGGATCGTGGTATTTGGAAGTCTGAGAAAGAAGGTCCTTTTTCCTACACACGATGTCGATGGTGTTGTAGTGAATAAACCTAAAAAGGATTGGACCAAAGATGATAAAGAAAATGTGAAACGCGACTTGAAGGCAAAAACTGTCATCACCACCACTCTAAATCTTGATGAATTTTTGTGAGTTTCTCACTGTGAGGTAAAGAGGGGAAGTTTGGGTCAAATTAACATACAAGTATGTACTTTTAAGAATGAAACCTGAAGAGAACATAAATCATATGCAAACATGGTTTACCCATATCGAAGGGTCATATGAGACCTATGGGAAAAATTTTCAACTGAGAAATTGGTTGTGAAAATCTTGAGATGCATAAACCGTAGTTGGCAACCTAAAGTCACTACAATTTATGAATCAAATGATTTAGTAACCATGGACACACACACTCTTTTTGATAAATTGTAGGAACATGATATGGAGCTAAAGAGACTTGCTGATGACGAAAAGATGATAATAAAAAGAGGAAAAGTATTGACTAAAATCTACAAACATCAAAGATATGGAATCAAAAGGTGAAAATTATCAAAGCAAGATTAATAAATACATGAAACTCATGTTTCATAAATTCAAAGAGTTCCTAAGGAAAGAAAATCAAAGTTTCTAAGAGAAAAATGAAAAAAGATCCTTATTCATTCCCACATTCCACCAATGCGGAAAGGAAGTGCACATAAGACCAAAATTCCCTCAAAATCAGAGAAGAAATCATATTCAAAGAAGATCCAAGAAATCATAAAAAAAAGTTAAGAGACACTATATATATATATATATATATATATATATATATATATATATATATATATATATATATATATATATATATATATATATATATATATATATATATATATATATATATATATATATATATATATATATATATATATATATATATAGAGAGAGAGAGAGAGAGAGAGAGAGAGAGAGAGAGAGAGAGAGAGAGAGAGAGAGAGAGAGAGAGGAGAGAGAGAGAGAGAGAGAGAGAGAGAGAGAGAGAGAGAGAGAGAGAGAGAGAGAGAGAGAGAGAGAGAGAGAGAGAGAGAGAGAGAGAGAGAGAGAGAGAGAGAGAGAGAGAGAGAGAGAGAGAGAGAGAGAGAGATGGAAATGATGATAAAGAAGAAGCAAACATGTGTCTCATGTAAAATCATGAAAAAAATGAGGTAACCTCTTATATTTCTTATCAAGACTTGTTTCGCATATATAAAAGCTAACTAAAGAAACAAGTAAAAGTATAAGTAGAGGTGTTTAACTATGCAGATATCCTTGAATGAACATCCTTGGAAGATGATGATTAAGGAAAAGAAAATACCAAAGATATGAGGAAGTCCAATGTCTGAATAGAGAGACTCAAGCGGAAGAAGTCAACTTGGAGAATCAAAATCTATTCAAAGAATGGAGGACTACTAAGAACCATCCATCCAAAATGTAATTTTTTAAGGGATTTAAATCTAAACACTCCCTTAGAAAGATTAAAATCCAAAGATGAGAGAGCTTTGGTACCATCTTTGGTGTACATGAAGAAGAGGTTACCTGGTTCAGAAGGGTGTAACCCAAGTATATTCACTGATGGTGCATCTCAATGGATGTGATCATGGAACCTCATAGAAGGTCGAGGTGATAAATTTGTAATAGATTTATCAGTTTTGTATTTGACCAACTCTTGTATCAAATGATCCAGAAAAGGAAAATTGATGGTGGTTTGTCGTTCCCTCGAAAGGGAGAGTTTTCTTAAGTTATCTCGGGGTTTTGATGTAGTACGCTTAATAGAGATTAAAAAATCAAAAAACTATAATCAAAACTCTAGTATGTTATTAATTAATTGCTTAGTCCATTAAATTTAATTTCCCACTAACCTTTGGTTGAGTTTTAAGTGTTTATGGAGAAAATTGGTGTCAAACGCAATACGCATATAATCCAATATTAGTCTAAGGCCCAAGGAGGCTGAAAAGAGGTTGTCTGAAAGATTTCCTAAGGGGAAATGATTATCTCTTGGAAGGAATCTGAGCCAAAAGAAGTAGATTCTGAACTTACTCACTACTAAAAAACGTACATACAACAACGTCAAATTCACCATGGTTCTTCCAAACATCGTGGTGACACTTCTAAACTCATGCGCTAACTTTATTTATTTATTTTTTAATTAAAAATTTTAAGGGTATAATAAAGGTTGATGAGAACACCATGGTGATACCATCAAGGTTTCATGGGTTCGAACCTCATCACCCTTAAATAGTTTATTCCTTTTACGCTAATGTGCGCCTTTTCATTTTTATTTATATTTATATTTAAAAAAATAGGGATATCACTATGGTTGTTTGGTAAAATCGTTGTTACACATGCACGCTTCTTTATGATTTTTCATTATGCAAAAAAATATATCATTACAGTTCACATTAATGACCGTGACGATAAATTTATATATATTAAACACTAAGTATCCATTTTTCCACTGAAAAATAAACAAGACGAAACAACCCTAACACCAACACCATCTTCATTGTCGGGAAGGAAGACAACAACACTGACACAGTATTCTCCTTTAAGGTACGTAAAATATTTTCGACATTGTTGTTGTTTATTTTTGTTTCAATGTTGCATTTGAAGATAAACTCATCCAAATGGTTTCATACCAATGCAAGAAGGTACAAAATAAAGGAAGGTGTAGCGGTAAAATCGACGAAGACGCCACTGAGTATTTATTTATCACACAAAAAGGGAAAGGAAAATCATCAAAGAAAAACCTAAAGGGGAAATCAAGGTCTTGCGATCGAGAGATTGGGTAAGGGAATCAATTACGCGAGGGGAAGGTATTAGGACCCCACACGTCCGTAGTACTCTACGGGACCCACTCTTGTTGTTCTAATCAAAGGGTGTGTTCAATCTAATGCTTAAGAGATATAAAATGCTAAGAGGGAATGTATGCAAAGAAAACAAAAAATAATATAGGGAAAATAAGAGTTGTGCTCGTTCGGGCCCTACCCCGATGCCTACGTATCCCTTTTAAGGAATCTGAGCAGCCGTAGTTTGGCTCACACATTTTGTTTGTTTGTATTTTTTAAATGAACAATGCTAAACTCAATCATTCCACCGCTACTCGACCATTGGAGACTCACGCACTGTAGTGGAAAGGAATCAACACGTTCTTAGAAGAGAAAATCCGAATGGCGAAAAGAAATGAATTGGTTGGTATTTTTTACCATGAAAAGGGTTTTTCTACATTTAGCATGTTTTATCCATTTGCCAAGAAGAAAGAAGTTTTAGTTTTAAATGCAATTATACAACAATGGGAGGAAAACATCTAAGAGAGACTATCCTATATCTAACCTAGTGTTATCATAAAATGATAGCCCTATGTCAAGGATGGAAAGGGAAATCTCTATCCTATGTTAGCATGCATGGATAACTATCATGATGTCTAGCTCAAAATATATTCTAATCGGGCAACCCTAAGGGAACACACACATAGCAAACAAATAAGCAAACAAGTGCTTTGGCAAAAGCACACAAACATAAGTAGCACATACTAACCCCAAGGGATGGGGGAAACAGTAGAAATGCTTTAACTAATGGAAGCGCATCACCCGAAGCAAACAAGCGGGAGACGGATGAAATAAAAAATGTGACGTCCAAAGTGACTAAACACCTAACCAAGATATGAAAGACGAGGTAGGCGACAAAAGGTAATATGAACGATCACATAATGTCAGCATCGACCAATGCGAACACCTGACAAAGTGCAAGGGTTCGATTGCGGAACCCTTCCCCACTTGATGGACTCGATACACAAGATCTGCACGACTCCGAAGCATCGACGTACAACGTGAGTTAAGGATAACACGGACGAGAATGTGCGAGGGTCGATTACGGACCCTCCCTGCTTGTCTCCTTTTGAGGACTTATCATCTATAATATAATGAGGGCACACATGTAAACATACATGCAGAATACCTATTTCATAGGTAGGATTTTAAACAAGCACAATTAGCATACAAAAAGCGGTGCCTGCTACAAGACTTTAAACAACGACTTCGAGCGCACGCTCTTTATTTCCTGCTTCCTACTTCACATGATTTCTAGAAAGCGATAAATGCAGAAATATAAATTAGAAGCAATATAATACCAAACGAACAATAATATCCGCAAAAAGCACAACCAAAGCAAAGAAACCCGAAATACTTCACGCGAGTTGGCATCAACAAACAAACAGTTAGAGATCGAACATTTGGAATATGTTTCAAAGCATCATCGAAGTGAAAATAAATCACAATCGAAAACTCAAACATGTCCGCCTATCAAATAATGAACCTGCATAAGACTCAACTCAACAAGTAAAGGTGAATCACAAGTCTCAAGTAATCAAAAAATTAGGAATTAATTTCCAAAAATCAAATAAAAAACCTAAAATTTCTAATTGACTTTGTAGTTTATTATCAAAAAAATATCTAAATTCTCCTCTTTTTTTTGTTTTATTATATATTCTATTACTATTTTTGTTATAAAAAAGAAAATTAAACTAAAAAAACAAAATCTAAAACTAAAGAAATTAAAAAGAGTCAGAGGGTAAAATCCAGAATTGGCTGATATGCTAGTAAAAACAACATTAGGCGCTGAGGCGCACTAACATTGATCTGAAAACAATTTTTTTATGCAAAAATTTCAAACCAGACAAACAAATTATGTATTGGGCCAAGGCTGCTTTTTGTTCAAAACTACTCCAAGCTGCAAAAAAAACACACAAGGGGCCTAGATGAAATTGCCATTGGGTCCAGAAATAGTCAGTCCAGGCAACTTGTCTGTTCCGCTAACGGGTTCTCCGATATCGGGCTTGGGCCTGTATTTGTTATTACAAAAAAAAGTACAATTTTGTGTCATTTATGCTAGGGTTCAGAAGAGTGATTGTTGGACTTCTTCCATAAACGAAACCTTCTCCCTTTTCTCTCTTGTGGCGCTCAATTTCACTTCTCCTTCTTCTTCGTTCATCACCTTCCACTACCGTGACACCGTGGCTCGATACGATTCTCGCTATCTCACTCTCTTTTTTACGCGATTCAACCTTGCTTTCAACCTAAACTCTTAGCCAAAATGCGACATCTCGACGCGACGCTACGATCTGATCGTCCTATGCTACGGTATAAAGAAATAAGATGCGAATAATTCAAAGGAAGAAGAACCTGGATCGGTTGCTCGAAGGAGATAATAATAAGCTCCAGAAAAACAGAGGGGAGATTCCTATGCAGATTGAAGGTACGAATTCTTCTTCTTCTCTTCTTCTTCTTATGCTATTTCTTCCTCCTCCTTGTGATTGTTTCTGTTTGCAAATTTTGTGTATGTTGTTGTTATTGTAAGCGTGAGAGAGAGTAGAGATTGTTGTAGTTTGTGATGATGAAGAGTAAATATCGATGTGCAGAGCAGAGGGAATTGAGCATTCTAGTGATTCTTCTTACAAATAATGAATGGTGATGAAGATTATGGAAGAAGAAGCAGAGAAAGGTTGTTGAAGATGGACAACGGATATTGGATTGAAGTTGCCAAGGGAGAAGAAAAAAAGGGTTGAAGATTTGAAGTAGAAAGTTATGGCAATGAATGTTCAGAGATTTCAGAGAGAGAGAGAGAGAGAGAGAGAGAGGAGTAGAAAAATCCCTGGTAAGTAAATCGTGAAAACTGAAAAATCCCCCTCCAATTCTGTTAGAGTCATCTTTATATAGGTTGAGTCAGAAGTGATCTCAGTTGTTAGATCTTAGAGAGTTGGTTAAGGGATTAAGGGTTGATTAGAGGAGGTTCAAAAGTCGGTTAGAAGTTAGTGCTAGGTTGTTAGGCAGTTAGTTATGAATGCAGTTAGGAGTTATTTTCTGTTTTGGTTCTTGTAGAAGTTAGTTGTCAAGTTGTTTTCTGTTAGTGAAGTCTTAATTATTAGTTGTTAGGAACGGCTTTATGAGTTAGTTAGTTACTAGATAAAAAAACTGTTTTGGTTAAAATTCTGTTAGATGATGCTTGGTATCAGAAGTTTAATGCTAAAACAAAACTGTTAGTCCAGTTATAAAAGGTTAGATTGAAAAAAAGTTAGTATAGTTTGATATAATTTCTATTATTGTTGTTAGGAGACGGTTAGAGGTTAGTTATGAATGCAGCTGAGTTGTTGATTTCAGAGTTTGTTATAAGACTGGATGATTAGGATCAATTCTTGAGAAAGCTCGAATTTCTCACGGTTTTATGATTTAATGTCTTCTCTGCCTTTTCATTTGGTTATGTGAGGTTGGTGTGGTTTATTGGAACTGGGCCATTTTTTGGATTTATTGAAGCGTATACCACTCCTTGCATTCTTCCTTCATTTTTATGTACTGACAAGTTGAATATGTCTGAACTGGTTTTTTTTTGTTATATGCAGATTTTATGGTGAACTGAACTGGTTTAGCGGATGTTTGGCCTGACTTGCCTGATTTTTTTGCTATAAATTATGCAGGGCTGCCATGGTAAATTTTTTGAAGGAAGCGTGAAGAAGTTTAGGCATAGTGCAAGCAAGGTTGAACTGAGAAGAAACAGAAGTAGGATGGAAGATTAGAACTAAGTTTTTAGGAGAAGTTTTTATGAAATTTTCTTTGTAATTTTGAAATGACATATGATGTATGGTTTTGGAATGGTATCGAACATCCTCTTGGATATAGAGTCTTGTATTGGTAATTAACTTGAAATGCCTTCTTATCATGTACTTATGTAATGATTCAAATTGTAAATGGTCGTGACTTTTGGAAACCTTGTGATATTTGAAAGTTTTAATGATGATAATCAAAGTATTCTTCATTATTAGCAACTCGAAGGGATCATATGAATCTGAATTGAATCATCCCATTTTTCAAAGTGTCTTCAGGTTGCATAGGCTTGATTATCTCAAGTATCCATTAACACATAACTTGTGAGGTAAATCCACATGACTTGATATTCCACCGATATAAGCCCTCTTTAATGGAGAAATATCCATGAGCCTTGCTTTGAAATGAACGGACAGTGATGGATTGGTACAGAATAGACTTTGAATCCATTTAAACTTGATGACATTTCTTGAATGAATCTCTAAATCATCTCCAATGGGACCTTAATTCTGATCTCCAACCCATGGTAACTTGTAATACCAACACTAGGTACTTTAAGATAACCATAATGCTTTGAGTGATCCTTAGACAGGAGTTGAGGTGCAGGGAGAAAAACGACCAAGATAATTTCAATATGAACATTTTAGCTCAATGAACCTCAATATTTAATTGAACCATGTCAAAAAGTTCAATGAAATTCAAATCCATAGTTTCACAACAAAGTACATCTTGATTTGATGAAACCCTCAATAAATCCTCAACCATTTGGGAACTAACATCACAAGAAATGAGTCCTTGATGAAATCCTCTAAACTTTTTGAAAGTAACATCTTGCAGAACCAGCAATTAGGAGAAGCCCTAAATGATGATGAGCTTTCAATAGAGAGAACGATAATCTTTGTAGCCTTGAGGACAAAACCTAGCATGATGAATCATTTGTTGGATAAACAATATCCATTCTTAGGCCCAATTATAGAAGAAACCCTAAATCAATGAACCTTGAGTCCATACAGATGCACAAGGTTTGAGATGGTGAGAGGATTAAAATCTAGCTCAATGACATTCTCAGTGAATAGATGATAAAGTCTCAAGTACACAAGTTGAATCTTAAAGCGTGTGTTCCTCGAAGAAAACTCTGATGAAGAAAAATTTGTATCTTGAGGAACCCTGCTAGCGAAGACGTTTATGTTTCTTGAGATCCAAAACCCTAATCTCATACCAAGAATGATAAGAGCACCAGTTGAATCAGCTTTGAGTAAGGTAGCGACCTTAGTCCATAGAGAAAAACTCTAATGCCAAAAACCCTTTGATCCCGTAACCATGGAATCGATGATATGCATGAGATGTATATGATGTGATAAAGGATCTTAGGGGCAAAAATTAGGGTATAACAGAAGCCTTTTTTAGAGATGTCAATTATGGAAAAGTGATGAGACATGTAATTTGGTCATATGGGATGAATACATGGGATAAAAAGGTGGAAATGAAGTTAGAGTTATGAAGTCAGTTGAAAATTATGGAAGTTATGGTTATTTAAAGGTTATGTATGGATATTCAAAGAAGAAGAAGAGGAAGAAGAAGAATTTGAAGAACAAACTGAAATCAGAGAGATTTTCTGGAAATAGATGTTATGTTTTGTTATCTCTTTTATGTTTAATGCTTACTTTGTTATGAAATATAATAGTTAAAGTAGGGTTTAAATTGCATTGTTGATGTTGAAGCTGCAAATGCAGTGAACTTGACAGGAATGCAACTATTAGACAGTTTCTTACGAGTAAGTTCATCGCAAACTGTTGAATTTTCAATTACATTTATTTGTTTGTTATTTCAGCTTTTCGAAGATGTGTGTATATTAGTTGATAGATTTTGTAGTTGATAGTTTAAGTTGATAATTTAAGTTGATAACCTTAAGAGAGTGAGAAAGTCATAGAGTTAAGAAGAAAGATTAAAACTTCATTACATAAACTTTCATTATAGAAGGCCTTAATAATCATATCTAAATCCTTCAGCCCAACGAAAGTTTGACCAAGTATAATCCGATCCATCATCATCATCACTAGAATTGAAAAAAATCATCTTCCTTCTCACCCTTCTTCTTCTTCTTCTTCTTCTTGCTCTCTCCTGCCTAAGAGCTCTCCTGGTGTTGGGAACAGTGTAGCGGCAAGCAACAAAAGTTTTGGAAATATTTATCCGCTAATTTATCGTGTCCACAGAGATTGGTTATTAAATTGCCGTTCGACAATTCTCTCGTTAATGAGTTTGGGAATAAATGGGTTTGTAAACAAATTGTTATCAACAGAAAATAAATGTAAACAAAAGTAAAAACTAAGGAAGAACTTATCAACTCTGCATATAATCTACTCATCACAGGCTCAAATCTATCGACCAGTTACATTTAACCTAACAATACTCATCAATGTCACTACATATCACTCTCAACCTAAATCATTTCTAACCCAAATTGAGAGACCGACTGTATCACCAAGGAAATGATCTCTCCACCTCCTCAACAACACAGAAGACAACTATGTAATCACACTAACGATCTCTCAGTATAACACAACCACACAGAGGCATTAAGCTTTGATACCCAAGTAGATATCAGCTCTAAATCTATCTCTAGACTTCAGAAACTAACAGATAATCGTCCTAGATAATAATCTAAGCATTATATGTATATAACAACTCAAATCCCTAGCACAGAGCAAAAATATAAGATAATAATCGACAAAGATTTGTAAAGCAAGTTTAATATAACGCCAAGGGCGACAAATATACATGAGTTCAAAGCAAATACATATACAAACTTAACACATAAAGAATACACAAAGAAGAAGAGAAATGAACCACAAATCTACCAGTTTGTCAGTGCCGATTGAAGAGAAATTCACCTCGGGTCATCCGTATGCAAGCTTCAATATTGTTTTCTAAACTCTAACTATCAAAAAAATGAAGGATGGTGGAGTTGGGGTCAAAAATACCCAAAACCATACCCAAAAATGTGTTTTTACTCCTAAATACGCAATTTTGACTGTCCTGCATCGCCCGACGACCAAAGAGCGTCGCCCGACGACCAAAAATGCGTTTTTTCCACGCTTCAGGTCGCTCCAGAATTGCCCGACGACCAAAAAGCCTCACCCGGCGATAGATGGCAGAAAGTTAAAAAAACAACACAGATTCAACCATAAGTTTTGAACCGTAGCTCCGATTCACGCACGATCAAAAGTGTTGGAAAGCTTATTAAATTCCCTATCTAACAATGCCTAAATATCAATGCTTGAATACCTACAAAAATGAGATAAAATCAATTAAACTCAATGACATTTACACAATAACGCAATAAATACACTATAACATAAACTATACTGAATATACACTAAAGTTGAGGTTTGTAGACAAAAAGCAAACGAATTAAGCCGATGAGTGCTAATTATTCACACTCAAATTCACAACAATTTAGCACTCATCAAACTCTCCCCAACTTAAGATATTGTTTGTCCTCAAACAAAGTCAAATAAACTTAAAGAAGCAAAAGACGATAATCAAAGAATCACGAATCAACAGTTTTTTAAAACAAAAAACAAATGTAATGGTTCAAATGAAAAACAGTACACACAAAGTAAACACTTACCACTAAACTATGACTATAACATAAACACGAAACAAATTCTAAATACAAAAATTATACCAAACATTCTAAAAAAATACCAGTTCACAAATGAATCACACCTAGCAAACACAATCATCGGTAGATGAAAAACAAATAAAAATAGGGTATTTTCACTCATCCAACAATCACGCAAACAATAAACTCAATTATGCATTCATCCAAAAATTTACATTGAAAATATAAAAACAAGAATCTCAAGGGCTTTTCAAGGCTGTAATGTAGCTTGGTTAACAAATAAGTGATAAGTCCTAAAGCTAATCGAAACAAAAACTTGCCTAAACCTAAGGGAGTAATTACTTCCACAAAGTTTCAAACAATAGTATTTCAATCGAACTTCTTTTTCATCCCGAATTTCAAACCAGCACAGATCACTTATTCAACACAACATTATTCCATACTCTTTTTATTTTTCTTTTTTAAAGCTTTTCTATTTTTTTCCTTTCTTTTTTTTAATCATTTTTTCATTTCTTTTCTCACTTTTTTTTCTTTTCAACCTCATAGCAATCAACCAATAAATACACAATCATTTTTCTTCCCAACTTGAATTCAACCATATATTAAAGTGAATACTCTCTACTTTATAAGGCAAGGTAAAAATTCAAACCAAAACAATGGTTGAGGGTTCAAGAAAACAATGAATCAACATACATGTAAAAAGGGAAACTAAACACTCATAGACAAGCATTTAACAAATACAACATGGATATCGACAAAAAACTCAAAGGGGTTACTAATGATCACACACTCACAAGGTGAATTGACTTATTTGGCTAAGATAGTTATGCTCAAAATGAAACAAAAAAAGCCTTGATCATGTTCAAGCTTTCATACAATCAACACAAACAAAAGATTAAGCGTAATAAAATCCAGTTAAAACAAGAATTGTGGTCTCCAGCATATGTGAACAATGGAAAGCTACCTCACAAAAAGGGTAGGAACTAAAGTAATTCACAAATGAACAAGTATACAAAAGAATGAATGGCACAAAAATTGTTAAAATTCTAAGTATCATGAATATGCTAAAGTATAGAAAGCGATAAACACATACCTTGAACGTGCACAAAACTTTTATAAAATCATTACCACACATTCGCAAGTCGAAACGATCAAACTTGACAAATCACCTCAATATTCTACAAGTTACCGGATCAAAACTTAAGTGCAAACAACAACAAAAGAATTCGAAAAATAATACTCCTACAAAATTTCAATGTACAAAATTTACAATATATACAACAAACAAAATTCCTCAAGCTAAACACGACAAGCTTTCAGAAAACATAAATTGACATAACAAAACAAATACAAATAACGATATGAAAACCGGGTGAAAAAGAATTAACAAGTTGAAAAGTGAAGATTTGAAATTCAGAATATTTTCTTGTTTCAACTTGTTAAAGCACAAATCACCACACACATAAACAAATACAAACAAACATGCTTGTT